AGACAGCCTGCCCACCCCCACCTCAAAACAGCACCAGGTCACAGGCGCATACTAATAACCCATTCCTCAACGCATTGCCCACGCTCGACCACAGACTAGACATCGCACCCTCACCCTCTCCCCCTCCTCACTTTCAGCCGCTCCATCACCACCACCACTCAACCAGTACCCCTCCGACCACCTCCCACTATCTGCCCGATCATCAATCACCCCCACCACCAATTCATCTTCTCCAACTAGATCCTCAACTAGACTCAGGCATGCTCCTCCCGCCACCGCCACCCAAGAAACGTGAAAGAACAATGGGAAGCGACCAGAACGGATCCGGGAACACACCATTGAACGACTCCGGTAGGACCCTGCTCACCAACAGGCCGGCCAAGAAAGAAAAACCGGCACCAGTCACTATGGTCTATCGTGGCGCACCGGACGACCACCCGTACGCATTCAACCAGAATCAGCACCGCCAACATCCCCTCAACCCCAGCGTCACCGCATTGGCTCCTCAGACTGCAATCAACAGGGGCTATGGAAGTCAGTCTCTCTCCCTCTCCCTCTCTCTCTCTCTCCAGTCTTGTTTCTATCCTCTTATGCGTGTCACTTCCTCTACGTAGGTATGGACATGGATGATGCCCCGCCGTCCACCGCCGCTCCGAGCTACAGTCTGTCACACGCCACCGAAGCAAGTCTGATGAAAAGGAAACACAACCGTTTGCGCGATCTCTGTCGGGAACGTGGTCTTCTCACTCCCTCCCGTGAGCTCACCAAGCGAGAGATGGTTCAGGCTTTGTTATCATGGGTATGCCCCATCTCCTTGATCAGGCAGTCTTCATCGATATATTTATCAACTCCTCATACCTGACACCCTGATCCTCAGCGCGAAGCAAATCTCGGCCAACGATCCTCCGGATTCTCGGAAACTGACGATTCTATGATGAGCTCGGCGTCTGGCTACGATACCGACGATCACGTTCGCTCTCACCCGAACATTCAAGAAAGATCATTTGAAGATTCGATCGACCCCCAGCTCTACTCGCCCGAGCTCAACCCTGGTATCTACAATTTGCGACCCCGCAACGGTGCCTCGCCACCCAAATTGGCAGGCAATCACGCACAATCACCAGGAAACTATCCACAACAAGCGGAGAATCACCAGGAGACCATCCGCTCGAGTGCTCAGCCCCGGACTCGCATGGCCATACCCGATCCGTTCAACAATAACCGCCAGCAGGCCGTCCACTCGCCACATAGCCAGTTGGCCAACTTCCTCGCCGCCACTGGGCTCCAGCACCAGTACCAGCTTGATCCATCCATCCGTAGTCCGACAAATGATCCTCAGCCGGCTAAGAAGACCCCTCCGGCTCAACCCGCGGAGGAACCCGCAGTAATGTCTCACCCCCCGATGATACCCTTGCTGGACGATCCCTCTCGTAACAGCAAACGAGGCAGCATCAGACTCGTCGGCACCAAGGTGCCCTCGATCGGCCCCATCGGAAAGATGAGCATGTCAAGCATCAACGTAGCTGGCGACGGCCCAATGTCCATCACTGAACCCCGCACGATGAAGGGGGGCGTTCACGTCACTTCGACTGCCGTCGCCCCCGGAACAGTTGTCATGAAATCTTCTTCCCCGCCCTCTCCACCTGCCTCCACTGAAACCCAAGATGACGATGGACATGCTGGATCTCAGAGCCATCGCCCTCGACCGTCCCCTCCTGAGGACCTCGACGTACTGTTAGACTTGGAAGACCTGAAGTTGTCTGACAAGGAAATCCCACCCGAGAAACTAGTTCAGTCATCCTTTTGGTTCCGAGGCCCTATGTCGATATTGTATAAACCGAACAAAGACTTATCCATGTGATTGTTTTTTCTACAGACTCGGGAACATAAGGTAGGTAGTGGTAGTTTCAAAGATGTATACATGGGCAGATACCGCAACTTCCGGGTGGCGATCTGTGATCTCAGAGGCCGTCTTACCGACATGGACATCAAAGAACTTGGACTCTTGAGAGATCTCAGGTCGGCCATTTTAGTAGATCATGAGCCTGAATGAGAAAAGATGCTGATCAGGGAAATCTTTAACCTTCATGCAGGCATCCTAACATTGTGCGGTTCATCGGGGTATCGATCGGAGGCACCATCCCCTGTACCATCGTCACTGAACTGTGTCGAAACGGAGACTTATACGAGTTGAGCATCGGCTTTCAATTTATTGCATCATAGAACACCCTCTCAACATTCTTCTTTGTTACTCTTGCAGTTACATCCGCAAGATCCCCTGCCCTTCATACGTTCAAATCTTAGGCTTGATGTTGGATGCTGCCAGAGGGGTCGAATACTTGTTGAGCCCGCATCCCCCTACTTCACGAAGATCCTATCACCTTTCCTGTTTTAACGGCCTTTTTGCTTTCTTGGGGCATTACTTTTTACTCTCAGACATCTGCGCACACCTTCGATCATTCATAGAGATCTCAAGAGTCCGAACGTCTTGATTACTGCCAACGGGAGCGCTAAGATCACCGACTTCGTGAGTCCAATACTGTTATCCATGCTCCGACTGTCATTGACATCCTAAAACGACTGTTTTTTAGGGACTCGCCCGAGTCAAGCGGGATGTCATGTCGATGTGTGCCACAACCTGTGGCACGCTCAACTGGCAAGCCCCTGAGCTCTGGGTTGCACATCCTTCTTACAACCATAGCATCGACGTACGTTCTCTCCCCTTTCACTCCTCTTTCCTCTGCCGAGATTTTGCATCTTGTCCACTGAAAACACCTGTTGATGCTTTCAGGTCTATGCACTTGGATTGGTATTTTGGGAGGTCTTATGTTGGCCATTCAAAGAGAAAACGTACCCCTTCCAAGTCAGTACCATCTTCCTGTTTTGTCCCTCCAGGTTGAAACTGATTTTGGATTGGGTTGTTGGGGTTGCAATAGGGAATGAACGAGCATGCGATCTTTGAGGAAGTCGGCAAGAAGAAACTGAGACCTAGCACCAGCATGGTTCGTCGGAAATGGGGTCGTGAGATCGTCGGCCTGATTGATCGCATGTGGGACAACGAGTCCGACGCAAGACCGGCCATGCCTGAGGTCGTCCGTCTTCTCAAGTGCGTTCAATCTTTGACACCCTAACTCAGCCCTTCACGGTTCTTAACTCATCTCGTGTTTTTTCTTTCCCATCGTTTTTTCACCTTAGTGCTATGTCTTTGCAAGAACGTGAAAAGGCTTGGGCCGCTACCAAAAATCAATTGCCCTCGATGGCTTGATTTAGTCCCTTTTCTATCCTTCCATCCTTGCATTCCTGTCCATCTTAATATCTGACTTAGTCAGCCCACATCCGCTCTTCTTACCACACTCACTTGAACTTTCTCAGTTTCGGAATGCTTTGGTCTCTCTCACATACATCATCAGTGTTGTTTTGCTAGGATCTGTACATGCTTCAAAAAATTATGGCCTTTTCTATTTCATTAGTACGCTCGTTCTTATGTCTCATTTTTCTTTTTCGCAGCGGGTTTAGTGGGCGAGGGGTTTTAATCCTGGAGGACTAGTATTCCTGAATAGCATTCGTACTATGCTCACATAACACACACAACACATCTTTCTTGGATATACTGTTCTTTACTTTTCACCAGAACGCACAACAAAAAAAAATCAAAACAATTACAACAACACTTGAAAAATTTATTTGTAAACATTGTTTTTCTCCTATCATCACACACGCGGAATATTGTCATTCATTCAATTTTATCTTCTCTCCTCTTATGTTTGTCTGTTTCGAGATCATATGCTCTTGTTATCTTTTCTATCTTCTTTTATCGTACTCATCATTACTGCTCATTCCTCATTCCTCATCCATTATCACTTGTCATCTAGAAAACCGTTAATTCAGATGGCCCACATCAATATTCCCTTTTTGCACCTCCATCACACCTTTTTTCTTCCTTCTGGTCTGAATTCTGATTGCTTCATATTCCTTCTTCACTTCATTCAGCTCTTATGACTCTTTATTCTTTCCTCCTCCATGTCTAGTCTCTCCCTCTCTTCTCTCATTCTCAATTAGATTGTTGTTGTTTTTGGTATTCTTCATTGGTTTTTAATCTAATTTTTTTATTGATACTTTATGTAGATGTCTCTTTCCCAGCTTCTCTGTGTGTCTGATTGGGATTCATGACAAGGGGAAAGTGTCCAGGTAACCACATGTGTGTTTGAGTGATGTCATGAAAAGAGAAGGAAAGATGAGGGGGGGGGGCATTCCATCACATTTGCAACTGATCATGTGCCAAATGTCAACTTGGACCCAACAAATCTATATTTTTGTAGGGAAATCCTATCTTGTTCAAGGCTTCAACAATCCCAAAAATTACCTCCCTGATTGAAACAAGCCAGAAAAAAAAGGTGGAATCAAGTATGAAGTGAGGACTCAGGCTGAGTGAAACCATTGAGTAAGACTCTCAGATATAGTCAATTCCCTCTGGAGCACATTTCTTTGCACATTGTGCTAGATTCTTTTAGTATCTTTTTGAGGATGTTGTACCTGAAACGACTTTGGTGGTTGCTGTTAGTAGAGCAATGCTAGGATTCATTCAAAAGAGCAGCTACAGATGGTTTTTTTTTTCTGCTTTTGGAGTAAGGGCCACTCTGGGGTGATTATCATAGCTGGTAATCCCAGACAGAACTGTTATTTTTGCTGGTGTAGTTTGATGGGTGATGGATGAGGTTGAATGGTTGGTCTGTGTTTGAATTGACTGGATATCAATGGGGTTAAAGTTTAAGATTTTGCAGATGTGATTTGAGTGATCCCCCAGAAAAGCTTAAAAATAAGCCACATAAATATCTTGAACACCTCACATCATGATGGGTGTGGCCAATCCAATCAAGTATCTCAGGCTCTTTTCTCCTCAGCAACCTGTAGTGGTTACTCAGCTGCTTTGTTGTGCTGATCAGAAAGTTGCCAGAATGCCAGCTATAAGGAATGGAGTGATCAATAAATTATTGGTATTGATAGAGGGTTGTAGTATATGCCATCTGCTCTAAAAATACCATGTTTGGAGGGTACTGTTAGTGCACCAATTACTTACACTATGGTGTTTTTTTTGGCTCTAATAATGATGATATTGGCCTGCTAAAGCTGGTATGCTGGCTTGTAGCATATTCTTGAGATTATAACAATGGTTGGTGGCCCATTTCAGCATAAAGCTGGCATACCAAGCCATTTTTGGCTTGATACTCTAACAATTATACCAAGAAAAAAGTAGGAATATAAATGTTACAAAAAGGGCTATCACAGGGAAAATGGATTTTAGTGTAGTAGACCATTGTTTCTCTCAGGTAAAAATGTCACTGGTGGCTAGTATCTCACTGATTTTGATGTAGATGATTGTAAATTCCCAGTCTAGAATTGCAATTTGGCTACCTGTAAGTACTTGAATTGGGAGAGATCATCATCTTTCCTGTTTTGACATCATTCAAAATAATAGGGACTAAAATATGGGATTGATTTCTGTGAATAAGTATTCATTCAAGATTTGAGGATTGCAGAAAAGGATGTGATTGGAATAGAATCAAACAAAGAAGTAGATCTTGGTGGCAGGAAATACAAGAATATGAAGAAGCAAGGCAACCTCTTATTTCCTCATGTTTGGGAGGTGAGTTGCAGATAGCATTTGGTAGTAAGTGGCAAGAAAAGAAGATATCAATCAACTAGAATTGCCAGCTACAAGTTCTGTAAATAAAAAAAAGCAGTTTTTTTTTCTAAGTGCTAAAGAGGGAGAACAGATATAGAATTGGGTCTTGTTGGATAGGTGTTTGATCAAGATCTTGTTTACTAACACAGGCTTGGATGATGTTAAAAGCTGGCCAAATCAATCATCCATGTTGATTATTTCTTTTCTTGTTGATTATTTCTGGATTTGTACTAGTGAGTTGATTTTTTTCAGGATTGGCTCGCAGACAGTATTTTTTTGGCGTGTTGTTTGGGAGGTGATTTGTGAGTGTTTTGGGTGTGATATGCTTATAGTGAGTTCGAGTTTGGTTTGGCTTGGCTCTTGGGCTGGCGAACCCCCTCGCCCTTCCCAAGGAAAATCGATCACCTGAACCAAAAAAAAAAAACCAAAAACCCAAAAACCACCACCACCACCCACCCAAAAGAAAATGGCAACATCCAACGACCCAGTCGATCTATCAGACGATGGCTCAGACAGCTCACACTCAGACTCAGCCCAACACCAACAACCCAACAGCAACAGCAACAGCAACAACCAGAATCACAAACCAAACGGAACAAACGACCTGAACTCAAAACCCATCAGACCAAACGAACACATCAACATCGAGGATATCAAGGAAATCAAGATTGACACCTCCTCACTCAACCCTCTCAGCCCACAGGTCATCTCAAAACAAGCTACCATCAACATCGGTCAGTCACTCCAACCTCAATCCCCATCTTCTTCCCGTCCCGAGCACTCACCCAACCTTGATTCTATCCTAACAGGTACGATCGGACACGTCGCTCACGGGAAATCCACCGTCGTCAAGGCTATCTCGGGTGTCCATACTGTCAGATTCAAGAACGAATTGGAGAGGAATATCACCATCAAACTGGGCTATGCAAATGCCAAGGTATATATATCTTCCTAATCCCATCCACAACTCCTCATTCCTCACCCTGTCTGTTCTTTTCTGTATACATCAGATTTACAAGTGCGAGGAAGCCTCCTGTGCCCGGCCTGGTTGTTATCGAAGTTACGGGAGTGATAAGGAAGACCGTCCGACGTGCGATGTTCCTGGCTGTCATGGCCGGATGAAGCTGATCAGGTCAAAAATACATTTCCAAATGTTTGAATCCAGACCAATCGCTTGAATCTGACACGATCGATCTTATCCAAAAAAAAAAAAACAGACACGTCTCATTTGTCGATTGTCCCGGTCACGATATCTTGATGGCTACTATGTTATCCGGTGCCGCAGTCATGGACGCCGCTCTGCTCCTAATCGCAGGCAATGAACCTTGTCCTCAACCGCAAACCTCAGAACATCTGGCAGCCATCGAGATCATGAAGTTAAAACACATCATCGTCCTACAGAATAAGGTCGATCTGATCACCGAGGCTGCAGCTAGCGAACAGTACAAGTCGATCTTATCCTTTGTCAAAGGTACTTCTATCCTCATCCATCATTGAGAGAAAGAAAGAAAAAAAATACCAATCTCTCTCTTTTTGCTGCTTCAGGTACCGTTGCCGATTCTGCACCCGTCGTACCGATCTCAGCCCAACTGCGGTACAACATTGACTCGGTCAACGAGTACATTGTCAAGAAGATTCCCGTGCCCATGCGAGACTTCAGTGCCGATCCTCGATTGACAGTCATCCGATCCTTTGACGTCAACAAGCCTGGAGCCGAAGTCGATGAACTAAAGGGTGGGGTAGCAGGTGGAAGTCTGTTACAGGGAGTCTTGCGGGTATGGTCGTTCTTTCTTCCTTCTTCCCCTCCCTTTCAACAAACAAAAAACCAGCATCCCTGATCTGGAATGCCCGATCTTCCTTTAGATGGGTCAAGAGGTCGAAGTCCGTCCTGGTGTCGTCACCAAAGACTCTGAAGGCAAGATCCACTGTAAACCGATCCGGAGTAAGATCGTCACTCTGCTAGCAGAAAAGAACGAGCTACTGTTTGCTGTTCCTGGGGGACTGATCGGAGTGGGAACGAGTTGAGTTTCATCATCAATCCTTCATTTTTTTTTTACTTGGTTTGAGAATTCGATGGGCCCGGTTTGTTGATTCAATCAATCACTCGATTTTGATAACTTGGTATTAGAGATCGATCCTCAGTTGTGTCGGGCTGATCGTCTCGTCGGTCAAGTCTTGGGTGCAGTCGGAAAACTGCCCAAGATCTTTACGGAGATTGAAATCAATTACTTCTTATTGTAAGTCGATTCATTGCTTGAGTATGTACATGAGGTGAGAAAAAAAAGAAGACTGATGGTTTTATCCCTATTGCCCTGTCTCATCTAGACGGAGATTATTAGGAGTGAAGACGGATGATAAGAAGCAGACCAAAGTGAGCAAGTTAACGAAGGGAGAGATCCTGATGGTGAACATCGGTTCGACGTCGACAGGCGGACGGGTGATGTCTGTAAAAGCCGATCTGGCTAAGGTCTTGTTGAACCAACCCGCTTGCACTGAGGTGGGCGAGAAAGTGGCTCTTAGTCGTAGGATCGAGCAGCATTGGAGGTTGATCGGTTGGGGTAGCGTTAGGAGAGGGGCCGAATATGAAATCCATTCTTAACTTAATTGATCATGCTCAATCAACCCATATTCCTTTCTCTGTCCCTCTTTCTTTCTTTCTTTCTTCTTTTTTTTTTTTCTCAACAAAAAAATGAATAAAATGAATTGATTTGAAATTTGAAAACCTTCCTCAATCCATTTGTTGTTGCTTTGTTTTCTTTTTCTTTTTCTCTTCTCCTTCTTCTTATGGTAAGTGTTAACTTGGAGACTTCTCTTCTGATGATCATTCCCTTTTTTTAAAAACCTCTTTTTAAAAAAACCAAAAACTTAACTTCATCACATGAAGAGAAAATAAGTAAATAACAAAAATCATACATTAAATCTCTACAAGGAATGAGCCTCAGGAAGGTGGTGCAAATACGAACAAAAACATTTTTTGAAACTTGTCAAAAATATCATAAGTATGTAGTTTGTGTAGGTATCTGCTATCAGTGATCGTCATCTGAATCTGTTCCTCGATGGCAAGCAAAATGCATCCCACAGTGCCTGAAGCTGCCCCAAGTGCTCAAGCGATCTTGCCTCCCGAATCCGGCCCGACAATTTTATCTGGTTGTGAAACGTCCTCCAATGAATTACTTTTCTTCGCTTGCCTTCCTTCTGTAGGGCGAATTCCACCTGGGGCTGAGACTCTTGTGAGCTGGGAGACAAAGAAGACCTTTACAGCTTCTGCTACCTGTTTCTCGGAATATGAACAGAAGATACATATGTTGGTTCCCTGAAGATGTCGTCCCTACCAAGACATCTGCTGACCTCTTATGTACCATCTTCACAAACTCACTCTTTTTGTTCATCAAGCTCCAAAGATTATAGCAAATACAGCCGTTTCGAGAAAGCTTGCTGCTTGGGAGTCGGACTTTTTTATTTTTTTATTTTATTTTTTTATTTTTTTATTTTTTAGAGTCTGATACAGCCCTGTATGTCGGCTGTATGTCTTCCAATCGTTCGTTTTCTTCTGTAAACGAAGAATTGGAAGTAATCCAGCTCATATACAGGGCTGTATTCAGCCCCTAAAAAATAAAAAAATAAAAAAAATAAAAAAAATAAAAAAAATAAAAAAAAGTCTGGCTCGCGAACCGCAACCTTTCTCGAAATGGCTGTAACACATTTTTGCCCCACACGCTTGGTCCGCGCGATAACTATTTATATAAATATATCCACATTTCCCAAACTTCGCCATAAAAGACATGGTCCGACGCTCATTAGTACAAACCACATATTTACCAGAGATATGGCTGCTACTTGCTTGCTCCACTTTTCTGAATCCGGTCACCGCGAGGGGGGATCCGCTTCTGGCCGAATCTACTGATCATTGGTCCAGTCTTACCCGGCGCAGCCTTTTCCCGTCGTCTGCCAGCAGCAAGCCTGCACCGACCACCGTCCAGCCTCAAGCTGCCGGCACTCCCTCCAGCAATCCCGCATGCGTGCAGCCACCGATCACCAATACCACATGGATCCAACTGGGAATAGATAACTATCTAGCTAACTTGCCCAACGGCGCCTCTCTAAATCTCCAGGTAAGGCTCAAACTTGGGACGTTCCTTGAGGCTTGCATACACCCACACTCGTCTCTCATGTGTTTTCTTTTTTTCCCAAACAGCATTATGCGGCTTCGGTTGGAGCTCCGGATTTTATCTGTGGCATTGGAGAGAAGTGTCAGGCTGGCCAGGTATGCCCTTCTTCTTTGTACTCGGTAATGCTTCTCTAAACTGAGGCCAGGATACTACAGCTGTGCAGCCCAGTCCAAGCACCTGGCTGGGAAGTACTAGTCGCAGCCCAAGAATGGAACAACTACCAGAACAGATTTTATGAAGCAGTGGGTACTGCGGTTCAAATGGTTACATGTAAGCCATTTGGTCCATCGGGGAACATACTCCAATACACCGACTGGCCAAAGTTTTCCTTTACTACGGAGATCTTTAATTTTTGACCAAAATGTTTTGTTTTTATCGAAATTCACAGCCATTTCCAGCTCACTTGTATCCGACTTGTAAGTGTGCATTCAACCGCTATTACGGCTGCAGTAGCGAAGCACATCGATCAGGAATATTCCCTGATGCAATGTCCGATAACAGGTACCCTCCTAGTCACACCGGCGAGATATGGGATGTATTCAACACCTTCAATTTAGCTGCTGGAATTACGTCCGGCATAGTTGGCATGTTCTTCGCATTCATCGGCCTGGCCGTTGTCGCTTCAACACCTCTTTCGCTCCTTGTCTTGCCTGCCGTAGCAGTCGTCTTCGGGTACCGCTGGCGTTATCTCGATGAAAGAAGCTGTGAAGCGTCGCGGGCCCACTGCATTTGACAAAGTAAATTCACAACACCTCTAGTCGATGGCACAACAACAGACTCCGAAATCTGATGGTTTCTCTTCTCCAGCAAAAGAGTTTTACGTCTACACCTCTTACCTTTCCGAATGGAAAAAACACTCTCGAAAAGGCATCACAAACGGCACCCGGAGTATTATTGCTTCGGGCGTCAGTTCACCTCAGGGCATATCGACAGTCTTGAAGATCGGTACCTTCTTTCACGAGCGCCCCAGCTTGAATGAAGCCGAATTGGTCGCAAGCCTTAAAAACACTACCACAGTTCGTATCTTGACGGATATCCTTAGAAGCCAGGTGAGTTGATTTTCTTCTCCCGGTGCTTAAAATCAACAAATCATTGACTTTCCTTGGACCCAACAGAGAGCATTCGTCACCATCGCAAGTGTAAGCATCTCCCAACCGCTCTGTCATAGGATCCTGACGCTGATACATCCCTTCTACACGCAACCCTACTGCGGTATTGATCTTGAAATTCCAAAGGATAAATGCACTGGGAAGGGCCCCGGCGGAGCTTGGAAAGTACACAACAACTTGTCCTACTGCTCGCCCAACGGAACGTGTGTGAGAATTTGAAACTCATATCCCAAAAGGCCCATGTATGCGAGTCTGACGGTTTTCTATTTATGTATCCATCTGGCCGGCTTTCTGCAGGATGTTTAACATCATTCACGCGAGCAAAAAGAAAGTGCACAACAAGTGGTGGAATGCCGATCTGATCGCCAAGAAATACGGAGTCTCAGTCCAATACCTCACCGAACAGTCCTACTTTTGTCAACTCAACCATGGCGCGGCTAACTTTGACCCTTACAAATCTAGGTGTGCATAAGGATCTTGAATGGCCCTAGTATCTGTACTATCTTCTTGTCAACTACTGACATATAAATATCTCACAAAAAATTAAAAAAAGCTCGTTTCCGAAAGACTTGTCCGCCGAATGTATCTCGAACCTGCCGGTCTGCGATTTCAGAAATCCTGGTAAGTCGGCATCTCGGTATCAGCTTGAAAGATCTGGAAAGAAAGAGATTAAACAAAAAACCCTTGACTGAGACTCATTAACTCGGCCCCATCCATTAGACCTCGCCGAAGCCAAGAAAGAGAAGAACACGATCTACGCCTGTCGGCATGTCGCCAAACTTCCGATCTGAAACAATCCCTCATCCTTGGGGCGTGAGCTCAGAGGGGTGGGCACGCCAAAGCCACTCGTTCCAGTCGTTTATTTTGTTTATTTTTTTTCGGGAGGACGGGGGGATAATGTTTTTTTTTGTGAAAGTAGGGGCTTGAGGAAGGCAGATGAAAAGTTATTTTGCAGTAGTCTTTGAACTATGTTTATCGGACAGCGCAAATGACGAACAAAATAGTGTCCTTGCGCGTCCACAAACACAAAGTGCATTCGTCAAGTAGCAACCCTGATTGGATCAGGTCATCCGTTGATCAGTGGATCGGGAGTCAGTAGGAACTGGTGATGGTTATGAAGAATCTCAAGATGTATGGATATTTGACATCCGAAGAATAATCTGCTGTCTCTGCTGAAAGACATCATCAGCTTCAAAAATATGACATATTAAAAAAACCCCCTTTTTGCAAGGAAAAAATACACAAAATCTTGAAGAGAACGCTTGAAATGCGATTCTATAGATGGCTGGATGTAGTGCCACAAAGGAGCCATTCCTAATCACGGAAAATTAAACCCACATATACAAGCTTCTCATGAAGCAAACAAAGCCACACAAAGTTACCAACAATAAAACATCAAACTAAAACAATATGAAGCTGAATGGCGAGAAGGTTCATCAGCAAATCATAGATGAACTGGCTGTAAATTCAATGGGCAATAGTTGAATGAGTTCCCTGCATCTTTTACATGTGACATGAGATGTTCTGGGACAAGAGGGAAGGGTTGATCAAAAACTGTTTGCTGGAGGAAGGACCAGTGACAGTGGCTGGAGAGGGGTTAAGTCCAGAAATTCAATGGAACTGAAGCCGGCCATTTCCCCATTGGAACCTTATAAAAAATTAAGACGTTGAGAATGCAGATCTTTGGAGAATAAAACTATGGGAAATGGACAGCAGTTTAAGAGCGCTCGACGCCCCAAGACGTCAAGCCGCCTCCAGGGGCGACCCCGGGTGGTAAATGAGGGTCACGCAATTCGACGGAGGATTCGATCACGGTTCCCGAGTTGGAGGAGGTTGTCAGTCCGGGCGCGCCCCCACTGGTGCTCTCGGTCTGCACATTTGCAGCAGGGCTGGTCGTGTTGCTGCTGGACGCGGCGGCGGAAGCTGAGGGTACACTGATCACCTGCTCGAATCTGAACAATCCAAAACAAGAAACAAAATCAGTTGATAAGTTTCCCTCAGTCGATCTGCAAATTAATAAGATTAAGATATTATGCAATGCTCATATCCAGGTTGTTTCTTTTTGGTCACGCGTATGATGAGAGCCCCATATGATTCATGATCAGGATCGACACGGGTGGCTTTGTTTTTATCAAATTACGCGTCTCCTCCAATTCTCTCGGCAGTCGATTTTTCGTGGGGAGAAGATGGACCAGATCCAAGCACCAAAGAATTCAGAGAATTCATAGAAAAAGCTTAACTTGGACCACAAGTTGTACACGTTCTCAAACTGCCGGCCGACCAGATTGACACTTTCGATATTGCGATTGAGCGCATTCAAGTTGGTGTATAGTCTGCCAATCGACTTGAAATAAAATCCGCCCAATTTCGGCACCAAGTGAGCTGATTAGAATCAAGATTCACAAAGTCACGTGAATCTTGCAAGATCCGAATGGGGGAGTGAGGGAAGCCAGATTGGACGTTACCTCTGAGATTTCCGCTATCCATTTGAGTCGTTGGTTGTCGAAGTGGCTGTGGTCCTCATCGTAATCTTGGTCTTCTTCATCCTGGGCTAGTTCTTCGTCATCCATTTCGTAATCCATTGGCATTGGCACGATTGGCCGAATAATGAAACAAAGGCCTTTGATGGATTGGCGTGTTGTTCGATTATGTAATCTGGGTTCATCTCCCCAAGGCCTGTCACTCATCTGTCACAGCCCATAGCATGTCACAGTCCTCGGCCCACAACAAGCACCAGCACAGCAAAAAACCATCACCAGCCTGGAATAACGAACTTCGCAGGACCAGCATCATCAACAAAGAACACCAGACTAGATAGGAAGCTCAGCATGGACCCAAAACTAAACGACTTGCTTCATTGGGCCGTAGAAAACACCAACAGGCCGCAGGCCGAAAATCAAACACGAGTGGCAAGTACTGCCGTTGCACCCGTACCGTCTTCTGACCCCATTCCGCTCTCAATCACCTACAACCCCCACGAATCCAGCCAAGTTCAGGCTCCAACTGCCCCCAGCAAGAAACTAGACACCGGGGTACTCGACGCCATACTGGGTAGGACTGATGCCGTCAGAATGAGAGAAGCCATGGGCATCTTCGAAGATCCCAATAAACCAATCCAAGAGCGCTGCAATGCTGGTGAAGAACTAGAAGACTTGATTCAGGATCTCGATAACGCCAATGGTCAGTCTAAATATTCATCTCACTCAACCTGTCAAATTTTTGCTGCACAAAGAGAGTTCAGAACAGAAAAAAAAAAAACCAGCTGAGCCGGTCTGTAATTTGACGAATTTTCAACAGATATGGAGGTCTTGGGATTTTGGCCAAAGTTGATTACCTTGTTGGAATCGAATCCCTCTGGATCTGACGAGAATGATTTGATCAAATTTCACACCTGTTGGATCTGTGGAACCGCTGTTCAGAATAACCCAAAATCACAAATCGCGGTGAGTTCCATTTCAATGTTTCTTTCTGTTGGTTGAGACTATGTAATTATACAAATGTTAGATCGTAAAAGATATGATTGGTGATCCTCAACTTGTCAAATTGACTTCTACACTGCAAAACTCAAGTTTTTAAAACGAGATCCTCTGCCGACGATTCTAGAGATTTTATGTCATGCGTCCGAGGCCACTCAAGCCAAAGCGATGTACTGTCTAAGCTCGACCTTGAAGCATGCTCCCGAGGAGACGCAGGTGATGAAGAAGTTCTCCGAAGCGCATGGCTGGGAGGCCTTGCACGATTGTCTGCGAGGACCGTCGATGACACTCCGGCGCAAGACGGTGTTTTTGATCAATACCTTGGTGCTTGAAGAGTCTCTGGACTTGGAAGAACTTAGGTCCGCCGGTCTGCTCAACACCTTGATCGCTTCCCTTTCCCCTTCAAGAGCAATCCCAGCTGGGAAAGATGGAGACCTCAGCTCGCAGGATGAAGACTAGTTCGTACCTCTTTTTTCTTTACTCCTTGAGCATTGAACCATCGGAAACAACCATCAATCCATCAGCGTCGTTCTAGTTGGCACGGGCTGATCCAAGCTTGTTCTTCTCCTCAGCGTCGAGAAAGTTCTTCGAACGATCGCAACACTACTGATCAACTCATCTTCAAGACCAAATCAAGTGATATCAGATGACGAAAAGAATCTAGTCAAAGAGGTCCTCAAAGAACTGAAGCTCGATTCCGCCAGTTTCAAACAATTGGTAGAGTCGTCAGGAATTGGCGAGAGTGAATGGTCACAGGCACTAGAATCATTAGGGCCATTCTCATTGGAGTAATCCTTTCTAAAAAAAAACTCAACCAGCGCAATTTTGTTTTCGGAACTTTGAACCTCACTTTCTGCCTTTCGGCGGGAGAAATATTAGACAACCTAAGCCTCATTTGATCAAGTTAGATCTCTACATATAGATTGTCCAGATTACAACAGCTGCACTCACTACATCAATATCAACTGTCTTTCCATCCCCAACGCACGGGACCAACCTAATATCCCTTGTTATCAGGGACCTACTGTAGCTTCTCAAATCATGGCAGCATTTTTCGTCTTTAAATTCGGTCATAACTTGGGACAACAACCCACCATTTGCGGTTACTGGAAAAGTAGTAGGCTTTGGCTCATAATTAAATAGTTTGAGCAAACACAGATTACCTAGGATACCCTCAACCTGGCCAGGTTTGCTGGTAGTGTATTGTTGAGCAGATGCATACATCCAAGCTTTGTGTTTTCCCCATTCAAATCTTCATCTCCTGATGCTGGTTGACAATTCAAAGGAAGAAAATGGATGCAATGATCACAGCAGCAGGAGCATGAGATAAATGTAGCAGATATAATGATGAAAGTAGCAGATATAATGATGAAAGTAGCCAGAAATACAGATTTGCATGTATGCTTGTAGTCTGTTGTACAATCCTGCTGACTTGCCATCCACATCACAAGATTTGTTTAACATAAGCTCTAACCCATGAAATACTTTTCAGAAAGACTGGATTCAGAATATGTGAGAAATCCAACTTGAATACAATGCTTCTCAAGTTAAGAAACCTTTCATTTACCAATCCGAGTTGACTATCTTGCTTATCTTTTCCTTCTTGACCCATTGTACTTGTGAGAGATCTTGATTCATATGTCTTCTACTGTGACTGCTAGCAATACACCCCTGTGCTAAGATCTCTCAAAGAGCATAGTCTTGTTATCCATACAACAACAGCAAAGAGTTGTGTTGACTCTTAAACAATAAAGGGAATTGAAAATGAAATAGGGAAAGGAACTTTCATTGTTGTATTGATAACAACAACCAGGTATGGCAGGGATAATTGATTGTGATGGGACGACTGGCAGTAGTGAAGGGTGCAGGTGGTTTGCTAACAAAGAGGACAAGGTTCCTACCATAAAAGGGGGTGCTCTGAAAAGGTGGAGAACTTGAGATTTTGCACCATGCCCAGGCTCTAGAATCCTCAGAGAGGTGTGACAGGAGGAAAAATTAATGTCATTTTCAATAAGAGTGTTTACATAATTTAATTGGAAGGACACACCACCCCTGCAAGTAGAATGTGTGTGAACTGTCAGCTATTTTTCAATCATTTTTTTCTCTTTAAAGTAGCTCAAAAAATCAGAATCAACACAATTGTAATAGCAACGCTGGGCCAGCTACGCTAACCGTAGCGTTAGCGTGGTGTAGCGCAGCGGAAATGCGCTACTTTGTAGCGTAGCGTTAGCGAAAAATCCACCTTTCTGCGCTAACACTATGCGCAAAGGGCACAAAAGTGCGTTAGCTGTTAGCGTAGCGTTAGCGCAGAAAGTTGGAATTGCGCTAACGCTACGCGCTCAGGGCCCAAAAAAGTGCCCGCTATGCCGCGCTACAGCACTTTTTAGCGGGTTTTTTGCCTTTTTTGCCGCTAAAAGCACACGCTGCGGCTGTAGCGATGCGCTAACACTACCCAGAAACAAGCTGCCTGTTAGCGGGGCTACAGCGTAGCGGCACGCTAACACTACAGAAAAAAAGGCCTGTTTCAGCGCCGCTACGCTAACGCTAAGTGGCCCTTTAGCGTAGCGGCCCAGCATTGGTAATAGTATGTGAAAAGAATGATTATAAATGAAAAGTTAAAAACTGTGTTGATCTTGAGTTTTCAAGGCTACTTTGAAAACTGATTGCAAAAATCCCCCAAAAAAATAGTCAGAAAATGAGGAAAAATATTCGAATTTTTTACAAAACTTTTTTCAGTCCAAATTTTCAGAAAGATTCTTTGGAACTCAATTTCCACAGTTTTTAGGAGAAAGCATACATTGAATTCCACTGGTTTTCTCTCTAGACTTCAATTAAAGTGTTCCATTTAGAGATGGTCACTTTGCATCCGGATATCCAGCAGAGCAGATATCCGACTGTTTTTTCTGGGGAAATCGGCATCCAAACCCGCATCCGCTGTAGTATGCCAATTGTGTTTCAAAGTAGCAAATTGCATAAAGTCACAGTTCAATATGTAGAAGGGCATATATTCTTAGGCATATTGTGGCATAATCACCATTCTACGGGTCATTTAACCCATAGTCACTCATGGGAACCACTAGGCTAGCTCCACTCAGTCAAAAGTTATTTAGGATTTAAATTTTGTTTGCATAAAAAATGCTTAATGCATAATGTAAACCACAAGTTGGCCTTATTTTTTTACATATTCAATATTCATTGCATAGGGTAACCAAAAGTTAGCCACATTGTTTGTAGGTACACTGAGAATCTTGTATAGGTCTAGAACCACAAGTTGGCCATTTATAGATTATAGGTTAGGGCTAGAACCACAAGTTGGCCCTTTATAGATTATTGGTTAGGGCTAGAACCACAAGTCAGTCGGGTTGTAAAATAGACTATTTAAGGAGGGGCTTTCCCCCCTCATTCCAATTTTTCATCATCTCATTACAACATCTCATCTGATCATCTGATCATCAACCAGACAGAACAGACCAATCAATCCATACATTAACCAGTGTGATCTTGATCAAGTGCCCCACTGAGATCATTCAGAATTTGAGAAGCATAGCAAAAGGAAAGTAAACAACCAGTACAACTTGTGATCTCAAAAACAAGAGACAGTGATCTTAAACCATTGTGCTCCCAACCAAGGTTAAGGAAGAAGGAAAAGACAAATAAAACAATTTTTTTTTCTCAGTAGTATCTCATAAATTATCATTCATTATCAGTACATACTCCAATCATTTTTCAAAATACATAAAACATATAAAAAAAAAAGGAAAACACATCTTACTCAACAATTCCGCTCCAATGGTCTTCTGAATTCACGTTGATCTAGGCTTTATAAGAGACTGCTACACATAGTTTTCTCTATCATCAGTTTTTGCCACAACAATAAATAAATTGTTGTGTTAACTCTTGTGTAGTACAATAGAGGGGCAGGTCTTTCAAACCAGCCGTATCAGTTGTAGAAGATCATTACATACGTGATATATCTCATCTGCTATTTTCCCCCTCCACAGGACTGCCACCATTCCCAAAGGAGTTCTCACACCGCATCCGCTGGCCGGGTATCCTCGGATACCCACCCTTTTAAAAGGTCAGC